ATGGGAATGTGAATAGGGGGATAAGATGAAGGCAGAGCCTAACCTCGTGCTTCCAGCAGGTGCTGGGAATGTTGAGGGGTATCCCTGGGGATGCAGGGGGTTGGGCAGCCCCTGGAGGGAACAGGGGCTGGAAGGGGTTCCCCCTGAGGTGGAGCACACAGAGGACTGGGCAGCACTGCTGGGGTGAGAGTGTCTGGCATCTGTCCCCACAGGCCTACGTGAACCGGTTCAAGTTCCAGAGCATCACTGCAGATGACACCCTCGAGTTCTTCCTGGAGTACTTCCCAGAGCTGAAGGAGAAAGGCGTGGACTCCATCCCAGGTCAGCACAGCACCATCCTGGCCAGGGAACAAGGGCTGCCACTTTCCAGCCCCACTCCTGCAGGCGTCAGAGCAGTCCATATCCCCCAGAGCCTTTGCACATTGGTTTGTTTTACTGGAGATGCTGTTGCTGCCAGCCCAGCTCTGTCAGAGCAGGCACGGACAGCACTGGCCAGCTGGGATCAGGCCCAGGCTTGGGCGTGTGCCAGCTCAGCCTGATCAGTCCCTGCTCTGCACCTGGGTGCTGTTTCATGGAGTGTCTGTGGCTCAGCCTGGTGAGTCTGGTGAGCACTGGGATCAGGCCCAGCCAGCACTCTGGGCTTGGCCCAGCCTTGCTGGAGATCCAGGCTTGGCAGGAGCTTTCCATGCTGGAGCTCATCCCGCTGGTGGTGCTGGGGCTGATACCCACAAGCACAGCCTGAGCCCATGTGTCTGATGGCCTCACCCCATTAGTTTGTAGTGGTCACCATCCTCGGGCAGGTTTGGTGGCACTGGGAGAAGGTGGGAGGGTCTGGGCAGCGGCAGCTGGTGTGGGGCTCAGGGCTCTGTTCCCAGCTCTCCCTCCTTCCTCTCTGCAGGGTTTGAATTTGACCGCTGGCTGAACACACCGGGCTGGCCGCCCTACCTGCCTGACCTGTCACCGGGGCAGCAGCTGATGAGGCCGGCGGAGGAGCTGGCAGAGCTCTGGGCAGCTGACAGCTTGAACATGGAGGCGATTGAAGCCGTGGACATCATGGGCTGGAGGACGTACCAGTTGGTGTATTTCCTGGATCAGGTCCTGCAGAAATCCCCCCTGCCTGAAGGTGAGTGCCAGGGCACTCCCAGGGCTCTGGTGCCCAGAGGAGACACAGGGTGATGTGCCCAAGTCCAGCCAGTTGGCCGGGGATGTGAGGGCACATCGGGGGGACACTCGGGTGTGTGGCCATCAGCCCCTCTCCAACTGCGCTGTGGGTCCTGGTTCCAGGGTAGCCCACGGTTGTTGTGGTGGAGGATGGAGAGCCAGGGGAAGCATGTCCCCAGATTTATGGGGACATGTGCAGTCCTGCTGTCCCCAGGTTGGCTCTGCTGGGCTTTCATGTCCCCATGTCACTGCAACTCTCCTTGCCCTCTTTGCTGAGGAAACTCCCCTGACTTTGTGCTGGCCAAGCCACCAGCACATGGCCCTGCAGGGCTGCCCAGCCTGGGCAAGGGCACTGTCCTGCCCAGAGCCAGCAAGTGCCTGGGGTGCTCCAGAGCTGGGGGTGGGGGGCGCTTGGGCAGGGGCCAGGGCTGAGCCAAGGCTGGGAGTATCCCAGAGATTTTGCAGCACAGCTGGGATGGACTCGCAGGGTTCCCTGGGAGCAGGGGCTGGGAGCTGTGGGCGATGGTGACTGCTCCCCTCTTCTTCACAGGAAATGTGAAAAGGCTGAGCAAGATGTACCCCAAGATCTCCAAGGCCCAGAATGCTGAGCTTCGACTGCGCTGGTGCCAGATTGTCCTCAAGAACAACCTGGAGGCTGAGTACAGCAAAGTCAAGGACTTCCTGCACAGCCAGGTTTGTCCCTGGGCAGTGGTGGCAGTGCCCAGCAGCATGCCAGTGGGGAGAGAAGGGCACAGGGCCTTCAGTGCCAGAGAGACAGGGGCTCCCTCTTGCTTTTGATAGTCCCACAGGATGGTTTGGTTTGAAAGGGACCTTTAAAGCTCATCTTATTTCACCCCGTGCCATGGGCAGGCACACCTTCCACTAGACCAGGTTGCTCCAAGCCCCATCTAACCTGGCCTTGGATACTTCCAGGACTCTGCCAGGGCCTCACCACCCTCACAGGGAAGAATTTCTTTTCAATATACCATTTAGCCCTGCTCTCTGGGAAGGGCTTCCCCAGTGGGAAGCCATTCCCCCTTGTCCTATCACTCCAAAGTCCCTCACCAGCTCTCTTAGCACTGGAAGGAACTCTGAGGTCTCCCTGGAGCTGTCTCTTCCCCAGGTGAACATCCCTAGCTCTCCCAGCCTGACCCCAGAGCAGAGGGGCTCCAGCCCTCAGAGCAGCCCTATGGATTCCTCTGGACCTGCTCTGTCCATGTGTGTCTTGTGCTGGAGACTCCAGAGCTGGATGCACTGTTCCAGTGTTGGGATCTTATGAGAGAGCAAAATTTCCCCCTCACCTGCTGCCCACACTGCTGGGGATGAGCCTAGGACACAGCTGGCTTTCCAGGCTGGGAGAGCACATGGCCAGATCACACCTAATTTGTCACCCCAGTCCTTCTCTGAAGGGCTGCTCTCCATTCCTCCATCCATCCTGTCCTGACCCAGGTGCAGGACCCTGCACTTGGCCTTGTTGAACTTCATGAGCTTCTCAGGGTCTGCTCCTTCTCCAGGGTTCAGGTGCTCTCCCCTCTCCACGTGCTGCGCTGCCAAGGGCTGCCCACAGCAACATTCCCCCGGCTGTGCCGTTTGCCATGTGCTCTGTGCCTAAGGGCAGGGCGATCCCGGCTGGGGGAATGGGGGCTGCCAGGGCTGCCAGGGCTGTCGGGGCTGGGGCCGTCACCGCCGTGTCTCCTCTCCGCAGGGCAAGCAGAAGTACACGCTGCCCCTGTACCGCGCCATGTGGGGCGGCTCCGAGGCCACGCGGGCCCTGGCCATGGAGACCTTCTCTGCCACGGCCCCCCAGCTCCACGTCAACGTGCAGAACTACGTCAAGAAGATCCTGGGCTTGGGGGGGGCTGAGGCCTGAGGCAGCCTGGGCTCTGCCCCCTCTGCCGGTGTTCCTGCTGGCAGGACCTCAGTGCCTCCCCCTCACATTTCCTTATTAAAATGTGTTATTTTTTCTCAGTGCTCTTCCTGTTCCCAGTGAGCCACAGGCCGCCTTAGAGTGACTGCCTGTCCCACTGCCAACCCTGCTCTGGGGACTTGGGGTGCTGCTGGCTTCTCCTGGTGCTGGCACTGGGAGGGATGGGCTTGGCCTTAGCTCCTGGCCCTGATCCACCCAGCTCCTCGCTAGGCTCCTGCCCAGCTGCCACAGCTGTGACAGTGGGGACGTGGGGAGCTGGTGCAGTGTGGCAAAGCTGGGACCTCCTGGCTCCAGTGCCCTGACATGCTGCTCCAGAGGAGTTGGGGATCGCTCCTCTACCTTGCTTTTTGCCACCACACTGGGGCTCACATTGGGTTGGAGGAAAGGGGTGCTCCTTCTCTCCCACCAGCAGTCCCAAGAACTTCAAAGAGCCAGTGGGGCCTGCATGTGGCAGAGACTGTAGGAATAAGACAAAGCTGGATAGCCACAATGTTCTTTATTCCTTATCAAATGCAGGGATATGACTGCACAAATTCCAGTACAGAATTGCCGAAGGCTGCAGAAGCATCAGTAGCCTGAGAGCCTGCTGGTCATAATGATAACAAGGTGGTGATAACAGTAGCATCTAACTGCCCTGGGAAGTTCATGAGTACCCCACAGTCTCTGTGGCCCCTACAACACCTCCCATCCTGCAATCTCTTAGGAAACTCGGGGGTGTGCTGTCAGAGAGGTGCACAGTCCTGGCACTTGCACAACAGCAGCCCAGAGGCAAATCTCAATGGGCTACAAGTGTTCACAGTAAATCTCTGACCCAGCACTGTGGTCCCTACAGCTGTGACTGAGTCCAAACTCCCCCCCAAAGCCAAGACCCTGCTGTGCCCACTGCTCAGAGGGTGCAGAGGTTGTGCATTTCCTCATAAGTGGGTTCAGGATTTAAAGAGGGCTGGTTATGGCATGTTCAGCCTGAGAGAATGAGGCTTCCCTGGGCAATGGGTGTCCTCTAGTGGATCAGCATTACTGGAAATAGACTGTAGCATTGTTACAAACTGTAGGGTAGAACCTTTCTCCAGCTGCCAACCTGGTTTCCCAGGGAACACAAAGCAGCTGTCAGTACAATTATCATGACCTCTGGTAAGAGACTCCACTATGAGTAGACTCATCTGGAAACAATCGCTCTGGTTTAAAAGGTGCCCTTGGCTCTCAGAAGCACCTGTCAGCTCTGGTCTGACTCACCTGAGCAGGCCAAGGGAGACAGTCAGGGTGGTCCCTAGAGCACTTCTCTTGGATTGAACCTGTGATGCATTCTCCACTGCCCAGGCTGCAATCCTCTTGGCACGTGCAGGTGTGTCAGGCTGTGGGATGCTGATGAGGAGCTCACAACTGCTGCCTCAGGAACACTTCACTGAGTGAAAATCATGGCTGCACGGGTGGGAGTGTGAGGGCTGGGAGTTACATGTCTCGACAGGGATCCTGCACCACTCCAGCTTCAGACAAGCAGAGAGCAGCCCCTGCTGCTGGAGCAGGACAAGGTTTTGATTCCCAGCTTGTCACTCCCTCCCAGGGCAGCCCCATGAGCTCTGGGCAGGGTTGGGACAGTTCCACCACCAACTTTACCAACACCACATTTTTGGTGCTCTCCAACCAGCATCATCCAGCTGTGAGGAGAGGAGGGAAGCATCCAACACAGAGCTGGGGGCTGCAAGGGGAGGGAACAGCAGCTGCTTCTGCACGGGCTGGGAATGGGATTCTGCCTTCATTCACCTTCCTGCAAAGGCAAGGGCTTACAGAGACACTTCAGCATAAAATTAGTAACAAGATGTAACACACTTATTTTTAACAATGTGACCTTCATCAAGTGCAGAACGTTTTTTGCTTAATTCTTTCCAGAATGAAATCCAAGTCAATCATAAAATGCCAGGAGAAGATGCTAATTCTTTATTAATAAATAGATTTAGAAAGGCTTAGCAAGACAGGATTAATGGATTTGATGGTCAGAGAGGACTGCTGTAATCTTCCAGTCTGACCTGCTGCAGAGCATAGGTCTGGATTCCTGCAGCCCACCAATCTGGGCCGCTGCACAGGGGCTTATCTGTTAATCCACACCACGGAGTCTCTGAAAAGTCACTACATTCTGGTCCAAGGGCCAGTTCCCTGTGAACACCAGGCACTCTTGTTCCCAGTTTGGTTCTGACTTCCCCTTACAGCCCTCGGGCTGGGTCAGCTGAAGCTCTTTAAATAGTATTCTTTACATACTGTATTTCAAAGGATTAGTGACTCTTACTCATGACTGCTTGATTTTACAGTATGAAAGAAATAATGGGCTTGATTATGAACTTAGTAACTCCCCAAACCACGTGGAATTAATTCACCCCTGCAATGATTTCAGGTCTACATTTGGGTAACAAATGTAATGAAGTCCAACAGTTGCACCAAGGTACAAACCCAGCAAATCCAGAGAGAGCACCTCAGCTGTCTCTGCTCCTCGAGGGTTGGTGAAGTGTGCAGACACTGAGCTACCCCATATGCAACAGTAAACCAGAGCCAGCTCTAAAGTGCCAGTGTTTTTCAGGAACAACTGAGAAGGTGGTTTTCCAAGGCATGTCATATGTCTGCACTCAGCTCTGCACACTGCTTGTCTGAGATGTGGGTAGCTAAGGAATCTATGATGTCAAGGAGGAGGAGCTGACTGAGCGAGCGGAGATTTGGCAACTTGGAGACCTTCAAGGAAAACAAAACAGAAAAAACAGGAAGAAATTAAAACCCTCCCCAGATCACAGCTCATGTATTACCCTTTTGCCCTTAGCACCCCATAGCAAGTCCGGCTGGGCATAGATGGTGTGAGATCCCAGCTGTGGGGCTGGGCTGCAGGGAACAGACCACGGGGCTCCAGTCAGGGCTTAGAACCAAATTCAGACTGCTGGGAGTGTAGAGCAGCAGGAACCTGCCCCCAGAGCTGCCTCTCTGTTGTTTCTGATAGCCCCACTGCTACAAGACACTGACTGAGCACTCTCCTAAGAGCCATGCTGACCAGCACAGCCTGAGCTCTGAGATCTGTGGGTTTGCACTGAAAATGTGATTGAGGGCCTGATCCCTTTGCTGCTGTGCTCCTGAGAAAAAGCTCTTCTCAGTATCCATGCTGTTCTGCTGGCATTCTTCCTGCAGTCAAAGCAGGTCACTGGAGCACTTGCCAACAAAAACCTCCACCATATCAGATAAATGGGAATCTACAACAAACTTTATGCTTTTGGACTGTTCAGAAGCTCAACTGTTAGCTTCCTTCTCCTCAACCTCATGGTAAGGAGCCAGTAATCCCTCTGTCCAGAGGCACTAACACACACCCAGCCTCCAGGCAGACTATGCCCAAGCACTCACTCACCCTCCTTACCTGAACTGACATTATCCCCTCGCTCTAGGGAGCTGCACTGGGATAAAGAATAAAGATGTCCTGAGACCTTTGAAGGCTAGGAGGGAAATGGCTGAGGATGCTTTCAGGAAGAGCTCAGGATGTGCTTGTAGCAATATCCCCAGTCTAAGGATGTGCCAGGACTGGGAGGGAGAGAGACCCCTTTGCACTGGTGGGATCCTGCCCCCACCCAAGGCACGCACTGCAGAACAGATCAGGGTGTCACTGCAAACATGTCACAACAGCAGGTTTATTAGGGCTTTTGCACAACACTGACACACAAGAGCCTGAAAACACATTGCCCAAAGCAGTGAACCTCTGGGAAACAGCTCTTCAGTAATGCTCTTGCTGTGGGGAAAACTCCTTAACAGTCCAAATCTGGAACAGCATTAAGTAACCAGAAGAACAGGAGATCCCACAGCCAGGGACCCAGCCTGCCTGAGCTCCGGTGACCCACCAGGTTTGTGCCCAAGAACAAATCCCCCTCAGAGCCCGTGGCTGGCCCAGAGCAGAGCAGAGAGTGTCTGTGCCCAGCCACACTGAGTCACCCAGCCCAGGCCAAGAATCACACACTGAGGCCTCTCAGGCCAAAGGAAAACATTGCATAATTGAGACTTCTCTGTGCACATCTGCTTGACAGTCTTCCAGCCACGTTTTGATGAACACTGTTCCACCAGTCAACAGTTTAAATATAAAACATTTCCCCACATCCTGGGGAGGAAGTACAGCTGAGGAACGCCCTCCAGCTCCCACTGCTGCCTCCCGGTGTTGTAATGTCCATTTCCCCCTGCACGTTCTGGGGAGAATCACACCTCTTTGTCTTCCTGTGGCCTCCATGGGGAAGTGATACTGTGATATTTCAGCCCTCAGCAGCTGCAAGGCACTGACCCCAACCCCAGGGACGTCCTGTACATGTCCTGTCCTGTCCAGTGGGACCAGTCCCCATCCCTGCTGAACTGGCCTGCTCCACAGGACTCATGGGGCCAGAAGAAAACAGACAGGATGAATGAAGGCAGGGGCTGCAACCTCATGCTGTGGACTCTCCTCTGGGAGTGATTTCTGGATGCCAGTTCCACTCTCAGTGCTTTTTATGCAATTTCAGTTATTTCTGAATGTAAAATGCGTCATGCTCCAGCAACTTTGGCATTTAATGAAGAGCCTGAACACCATCCTGTCTCCTCTCCAGACACTAATGGGACATAGCAGTGCTCTTCTTCCCCAGGAGGATTGTGAGTTTAAATATACAAAGGAGAGCGAGCTCCTTGAATATTAACTAGGGAATTATTATCAGTATGTGTGTAGCATCCAGAAATCCCAATTCCTATGATTTATCTACCTATTTCAGCAATGCTAATAAGCTGAGCAATGAACTGATGACATGCTGGGGAACTCTCATGGAGGGATCACATCTCATAGGAACAATTAAATGACAATATACTTATTCTCTCAAATGAGGACAGGAGTATCAGCACATTGGGCTCTTGACCTTACCTGCCACAAATGCATAATCCCATCAAAACAGAACCATAGCATTTTTAAGATTGGAAAGGACCTCTAAGACCATAGAGTCCAACTGTTGAACATGGAAATCACAGAGAGCCCAGCCAGGACATGGTAATTTGTTTTAGAGCACATGATAATAAAACATGTATGACAGAGAATACTTCGAGTATGAGGAGCACACTGACACCTGCTAGTGAGAGAGAGATTTGTGCTCTCAATATACAACAAACTTACCCTGCTTTGCATGTTCCAGTTGGAACAACTGGAAATGGAAGCAATTTTGGGTAATTTCTACTTGGAAGGACTTTACATTTCTAGACTAGTTTGTTCTAGTCTCTAATTTACTTTGATGTGAGCAATGTGCCTAGCAGTCCTGTCAGTGAGTGTCAGTAACATGCAGCCAGCTCTCAGCTGTCTCACATGAGGAAGAATTAAACTGATTTCTAAATGAACATGTCTTTAACCAAGGCAGTGACAGAGGACAGCAGCTCTCAAAAGCCACAGAAAAGATGCAACCAACCTTGGTGAACTGGTGAACGATGATGTGCAGGCAGTGCCTCTTCATGTCCAGGGCCTGGGTCTTGTCAGCTGCCTCCAAGATCTAGAGGAGGAGCAAAAAAGTGATTTCCTTTCTGCACAGCTAAGATGCACAAACAGTCCTGATCCAGAGCAGGTAACTCCTCTTAGCTAGGGAACATCTCCATTTTGCATTGCAAACTGAGTATTTTATGAACTATTCAAAAATAAGCCTTGGATTTAAAATGCATGGAGTCCTCAAGAACTAATCAGGATTACTTGCTTCTGCTTGTGCAGCAGAGGTTCAGGCTGCCTGCCTGGGAGCCAGCATTGACTTTCTGACCACAAAATATTTTTTGTTAGATCAAACTCCACTGCAAGATCCAGTCAGCATCACTGATAAAACAAGACTAAAGTCAGTCACCTGCAGACCACCATTTGTCCTGGAACAAATGTCTGCCAAAAAGGGTTTACAGTTAAGTGCTTAGCACATGGTCATCTTAAAAAGACATTTAGAAACACAGTTCTGTAAAGGGGGTGAGAGAGTTCAGGAGGAGCCAGGTGAGCAGCGCCAGCTGAGCAGTACCTTCCTACAGCACAGGAACAGAAGTGACACAGTATCAGGTAAGGAACAATGCTGCTGAAGGCTGGGCTCCCACACATGTCATCACATAGGGCCACTGCCACTGGAAGGGTCTGGGCAGTCTCAGTGACCTGGCACTGGGGGTGCCCACTTGACCAGACCCCTTGGCTTTCCTCTAAGTGGCTAACTGAAGTGCTTGTGGATAATTACCTGGAGCACATTCTCCACTGTGACATTCATTTCCAGGTTCTGCTTACAGTAGGCCTGGAGCCTGTTGTTGGAGAAGCCATAATAGTAAGGTGCTGCAAAGAGGTATCTGTTCATTCCGTTGAGGAATAAAGCAGAAAGTGAGGGTGAGAGCACTGATGGCAAACAAATCCCTGTGAGGAGTGAGAGTGCAGAGCCTGCTGGTGCCCCCTGACAGACCACCCTCCGGGCTGTGCCAGCAACCCAGAGCAAAAGCAAGGTGACCTGCTGGACATGCACTCAGACAGATCCTCCAATTCCTTCGAAGCTAAGGATACAGGGAGTCCTCAGGAGGCATGTTCACTTCTCCATAATAGATATATCTGAGCATGGACTCGAATGCTTGCTTGCTGGGAACCATTTCACCTATAGAAATGTTCACCTGCCCATCTTCTGGCATGAATGAACGGAACATAGCTTCAAAGTAACTGGAAAAGGAAATAAAACTGAAATTACACATTCTGCAGACAAATGGTTTAACCAACTATTGTTCAGAGGCTGCTATTCAGAACTGCAGCTTCCAAACCAACAAATTCAGTTGACAACCTGGGCAAAAACACTGCTTATTTATTTTTTCATGTATGTCTGCCAGTGAAAACTCCAAATATAATCCCCCTAATTACCATGAGAACTACCTGAAATTTGTCTGTATCTTGAAAATTAGGACACATGGTGCTTTGATTTTTTTCTCTAATTTGCATAAGACCCAGCAGAGAGCTTAAAGCATTATGAATTTCCTTGGTATCTACAGGCTGCCAATCATCAGGGCTGTTTTAAGAGCTGTGAAATGTTTCTGGTAAAATATCACAGTAACTAATAGTGAATATTGTTCAGGTTTTTTTCTGTGAAAAAATTGTGATGTTATTTGAAATAGAAATCTTATGTGAACACTTAATGTTTGATGGAACATAAGGTGCAGGTCCAAAGAACACACAAGTGCAGGACAAATCCACTTCACCCATGCCCTGAGGAATGAGAACAGTCCCACCATCAGCAGGGTGGACTCCTTTTTCTGCACAAAGCATGAGAATACTCTAGTCTCTCTCATGTACCATTTTTTGTTATGTTTATTCATAACCAGTCTTAAATACCAGAAAGTGAGAAAGAAATTCAAGTTCCACATGATAAAATATGAATTGTTCAGAGTCAGAAGGCTCCTTCTGACCTCAGTGGACATCTGTTACTTTCCACTTCACTGAAACCACCTTATGTTTTCCACCCTTTTTCCCTTCCTGTGATTTTACAGATGCTTTGTTGTGCACTGCAGCTTCTCACACACCCTCTGCAGAATCTCTGCAGTTCTAATTTCTTCCTATCTTTCCCTGCTGGGTATCAAATGGAAAAAAAAATTTAATCACTACTGCTTAAAGGCTTATTACACTCATTGAGCAAAGCTGCATCTTAACACTTTATGCAGATTTAAGTTCCTCCCTGTCTTCTAAACCAAGCTGAGCACAGACTGCCCAGCCCTGCACTGTCCTTCACACACACTCCTGGCACAGTGTCAGGAGCAGGGCTCACCTGGAGCGAGCTGCCAGGATGGCTTTGTGGGCTGGCCGTGGGTGCCCGTCTAGGAGCAGGATGATATCACAGAATTCAGTCCCAGCTCCTTCCAGGTAAGCCTTCATGTCCTGAATTAAAGATGTTCCTGAAATGAAACATAATGAAATAAAGACATGATAGTTCCAGGTGATCAGATGCTATCAAACTAATACATGGCCAAGCCAAAGCTCCAGCCCCTCTTTCCTTTGGGACTCTCACTGTGAATTTGAGTCAAGTCCTTCCTCATAATCTTGGAGCAAAATGAGCTTCATCCTTCCCCACCACAGCTGATTCCCTACTGCCCCTCCCAAAAACAAACCTGTGAGCTCTGCTTTCTGCCACTGACAGCAAACTCCAGCTGTGGCCAACTGACATGTGCTCTCTAAAGATATGAAAGCTGATTTTTCCTTTCCCTTCGCACTATTTCCAAATAGTTTTGTGTTCCAGATTGAAAGGCAAGATGTATTCCATTTCCCATCTGTATGGCAGTTGTCTACTGTTAAGTGGGCAGTTTTCCTTAACTTCCACAACCAATCCTCTCTCAGGAGAGACATCTGCTGATAATGGGCTATTGAATGTCACTGCATGACTGATAAGAACTATAACAGCCCATTGTGAGATGCTCTGCCCAGAGGGAGGAGTCAAACATTCCTACCTGGATATAATCTTGAGTTTCTGGAACACCAGCATGCACTGGATTTCCCAGGGGAACAGCTGCCTCTTCCACTGCAGGAAGAGTACACCCCTTTTTTACAGGATCCCTGCTCCAACAGAACCACACCTGACACTCCAGGAGAACTGCAGCCACAACTCCCAATTGGACTGAGGCCAACACTCTGACTAACAGGGTGTCAGGTTGTATTCGGACTCTGTCAGTGTTGTTTTGGTTCACTGCATTATTTATCTTTTTATTTCCTTCCCTAATAAAGAACTGTTATTCCTGCTGCCATATTTTTGCCTGAGAGTCCCCCTTAATTTCAAATTTATAGCAATTAGGAGGGAAAGGGTTTACATTTTTCCATTTCAGGGGAGGCTCCTGCCTTCCTTAGCAGACACCTGTCTTTCCAAACCTAGACGTTTTGTGTCTTAATGAAAAATCTTTCCCAAATCAGCAGCAAAGGCTTCTTTTATCCAATATTTTAATCCACATTTGTAAATACACAACTGAGAAATAGAGCACATCCAAGTTTGCTCCAAACTCACTCATATTTTTGAAATTCTTCTTTCAGTTTTTAATGTTTAGGTCTCTCACACCATTCTAGCTCTGGATATAGAACTGGCTGTGCCACCTTCCCAGCCAGTGCACCTCATGCCTCTATGACAAATGCCAGCCAAAGCCTTCCTACTTGACCTTCCAGGACTAGCTTCCTTCTCTTCCTCTTCAGTTCCCAATTATTTTTGTGCAGCACTCCACACCAACACTGCCAATGCCTCTGAACTTTGTGGCCTTAGAAAATTTCATTATTACATTCCTTGTGTTGTGTGTCAGGATGTTAAAATGTTGAGGAAAACTAGTCCCAGATCAGCCTCTGATGAATTTCACAATAAAACTGTAAATCACATCTTTCTCTTCTCCTCCCTATCTCCTGTTCCTTTCACACAGGCACGCTCAGCAGTACCTCATTCACAAGACCCTCCTCCTTCCTCCTGCTCCTTCTTGGTAAACACCTTCAAGCAGGCTGTTTCCCTGCTCAGCTCTGTCACCCTTACAGTGACTGTCTAATGCCTTTTTTTGGGTCATTCTTTACACCCTTCTGCTCCTTCTCTCATGTCTCTGAAAAGGATCAGGACAGTTTATTGCAAGAACACAGTCCCATGTACTTTGATGGGACTCTGTTCTGATTGAACCTCACTGGGAAAAGAAGTGTTGTGCTTTGTCTCAGTCCAGGAGAGAGCCTGAGCACTTATCCCAGCTGGGAACTGGTGGGCTGCAGAGGGCTGCTTCCCACACATCTCCCCAGGCTAAACAAACCATTAGCAAAGCCAATCCAGCAGATGGAATGGCTCCATAAAGCAGGAAGGTTACCGATGTCGAGCGGCTGGTCAGAGTGTGTTCGGACAGGAGGCTGCTGCTTTCTCCGCACAATCTCCACAATGAGGGATGAGGAAAGATGCTCAAACTCCTTCATCATTATGACTTGATTAAAATGGGATTCCTTCACCACAAAGTTCAGGCAATGTTCCTTAAAAATACACCAATATTAATTACGAAATTTATGGTTTATTGTTTGAAATCATCTTACAGCATCCCATAAATCTTGCATGTTACATATGCCATCAACCATCCTTTCCATTGAACCTCCACATGGATCCTGCAGCTGGAACTATCCAACAGTGATATCCTTATCCTTCCTAAATGACTGTTTAGGCTCCTCCTTCAACAGGAAATTCAGGACAATTCTAAGCATCTAGAAAAATTTGACTAGAAATATTAACAAGGAAGAGATTAACTGCCCATTGAGCTGCTCCAAAGCTTTCTAAAACAGGAATCTCAGGAGATACTGAAAACTTCACTGTGATAATGAAGATTAGTTGCTACCTCATAATAACTTTTAACATAATTAGACACCAAAAACTAATTTAAAAGGTGAAGAAATTTTAACTCTTGACACTCTCCATCAAGGGTCCAAAAAGCTTACAGAATTCCTTGTGTGGGTTTTGCCTGAACCTTTTCCATAAACACAGCAAACAGTTCAAGAGCTCTGGAAGGCTCTTGTGTAATAAACTTCTTAGAAAAATTGGAGTGGTGAAAAGGTGACAAATGAACCAGACCTAATGCTAAACAGTTAGAGACAAAAAAAAAGGGCACTTTATTTCCCAGTATGAACCAAGGCTTCCCCTCATTCCACTTTTATAAGCAATAAATACAATCTACATCAGCTCACCATAAGGTGGGTACAAATTCACCCAAAGAATCATTACTACTGTCGGTTTCTGCCAGTTTATTCCACCTGGGATCCAAAGGTATCTGTCAGGAGTCACCCATGAAACATTTTAAATCACGACTGGGATGCCAGAAAGAACAGCTTTCTACAGAGGACCCACCCATGAGGACTCATGAGCACCTGAGCAGATAGGATGCCAGCTCAGGGTGATCCTGCCTAACTGGAGCCATGTGCAAGAGCGCCGTCACTCCAGAGGTATCCAGGGCAGGTGGGGGCACCAGATCCACCAATGCTTGAGCTTCTGGGCAGATGATGGCACCATGATGCCATGCACCAAAGGCTGTGCCAGCATTTACACATTTCCTCCTGGAGGGATTTCCTCTTCCAAATCCAGAACACACACAGTGTCTGAGGAAGTGCTTGTGCATACTGGCTTCTCCAGCCTCACTGTGCTTGCAGCCACCAGCAGTATGGTCACTGGTGTGCACAGGATGAACAAGTACTGCATGGCCCTGCTCTGGCTCTGGGACTGGGGGCAGGAGTTGCTTCCCTGCAGGTTCAGCAGAACTGGCTCTGGGCACTGTTCTGGGATCAGCACAGCCAGCACCTCTACGGCTGCAGCCAGGGGTCAGCCCTACCCTGCTTGTCACAGAACACCCAAAAGCCTCTCACCCACCACAGAGACAGAGAATCACTGGCACATTTTGTTTTTCAGTGCAAAGGCCTGAGAGCAGTTTCTTTCTTCCATGTAGAAAATGAAAGAACCTATCTGCAGTGTCAGTACATGTAATCTAGCAAGACCAGGAAATGCACTGGTTCCATCTTGCTGCAGCAAGAGTGAACTGATGAAGAGCCAAAGTCACTCTGCCCTTGACATTCTACAGAGCAGATATGCAAAAATATTGAGCATGTATTGAAAAAGCCTACATAATATCACAAGCCATTGTAGGACAACCCATGCTAAATATACTAAAGCAACTGTAATTAAAGGGATGATGACTCTGAAAAAGCTGATACCTTTGGCCAAATGTTAATTACATAATTTTCTTTTTAATTTCTTACCAGTTACTTTGTATGCAGAATGTGATTACCTTTAGCTGATCCAGCTGAAGCTTGTTAGCATTCTCACACACAATAAGCACATTCTGCAGATCTACAGATGCCTCGATATACTGAAGGCAGAGCTGTTCCAGCCGAGAGAGCTTGAAGTTTAAGGCCAGCTTGTACACATCCATAATGAGTAACACATCCTGCACATGACCTGAAATTGTAAGAGGGAAAACTGCTGGAGAGATCAGAGAACAAAGAGAGGAATGCTTCTGAAAGTATTTTTTATATCAACTGGAGAAATCGGAATAGTAGAACAGGCAGTGGCTGGAGTCTTTTTATAGAGAAAAGAATTCCATTCCTGGTTAGACAGAATCTTAATCAATACTAGAAGAGGAGTTTCAGATTTGAAGCATGCAAAAGACAAAGATCTTGTGACAATCTGGATCACAATTTTTTTAAATTCTCTAAAGAACGTGAAGTGATTCTCTAAAATCTCTGATAAGGCCCAGAGCTTGCAGCCAAATTTCTCACAGTGCCCAGCTGCCAACAGCCCTGCCAGAGTCCTTGGGTTTTACACAGTACTAAAGTCAGCTCCCTGATTCTGACAGACTCTGATAAAGGTACTCTGTGCTTTCACTCTGTGCTTCAGCCTGCACAGACCCACAGCTGGTCTGCGAGGGCTAAAGTGAGAGAGGGCAGAGGACACTCAGGTAGGCCACTGCAATGGGGCTACTGGGACACCAACTCAATGAATACTCCCCCACGGCCTTTGCTTTCCTCACAGGAGATCTTTGCCCATCTGCTCTAACTACTTTTTAATAGAGAAAAGCCCTCTCACATGTCACGTGCCTTCCCTGTGTCTAATTGGAAAATCCCATTTGATGAGCATGCCCAATTCCATTAGCTCAGCCTCTGGATGGCTCCCCAGGGTGCTGCTCTCTGTGCTGAGAGGAGCAACTAGGAATACAAATGAGCAGAGCAGGGCCCATGGAGGATCCCAGCAGAAGGGAGAGCACCAGGGAGAACCCCTCATGTGCTGGGGAAGAGGGACAGGCTGCCTGGGAAGCCTGTAACAGTGGGAAGAGCTCAGGGGTCCAAGCCTTCCCTTGGCCTGAGGCTGTTCCAAGGTGAGGAGCATCACTGAATGGCTGGGAGAGGGATCTGGCAATGCAGGGAGCAGTTCCCTCACCCCAGTCAGTGGGATCATTCTCAGACAGGGAAATTCTTGGCACAAATGGACACATGTCATATTTTTCCTGAGAATTATCTTTGCAGAAAGTGAAGCTCTTGGAGTGAAGCTGAAGCAAAATTCATTGCTAGGACAGCTGTACCTCACTGTACTTCACCACGCCCCAAAGCTGCAGCTTCCCCAGCCCCAGCAGCTGGAGCTCCTCGCTGTATCCAGCTGTACCCAGCCTCCCTCCCTCCCACTGCCCCACAGCCCTCACCACTCACACAGCCAGGAGCTGGCGTCCCTGTGTGGAAGCTGCAAGATTTCTGGCTGTTACTTCCCCACCCACAAGAATTTTTAACTCAGAGAACTCCAATGAATATACCAAACGGATTTTTCCTTCCTTGAGGCATTTCCTCAGATTGGATTTTTAACAGGTGATAAATACTGGCTTACACACCTTTCTGTGTAGGCTCAGATTAAAATGGATCAAAACAGTATCAGAAAAAGGAAATCAGCCAAGCCAGGATAAGATACATGATCCTTCCAAGCAGGTTGCTGTGATGTTCAAAATACCACAATATTTTTGTTTGTTTGGGGTCTTTTACACCTTTTGGAATGATCAAGAACTTGTTCTTCCTTGATATTAGAAAATAATTAGGGGAAAAAAAAAGCATAGTAAGTACACTCTGATAAAATCTTCTTTTTGTTTAATCTCAGGTTAGTAATTAAGTGCTCAGAACAGGCCTGATCACCTGCAAATGCTGGATTCTGCTGTTTCTGAACACATTTGCTCCCCTCCCCTCCCTAGTGCCAGTGTTACTTCACCCTGCTGCCCTACCTTTGCGGGGATACTTTATCTTATCTGTGTACAGGAACTGCATGAGCACCTCAAAGGGCTGGGCCTCGGCCTCTCGGATGGGCACTTCCAGCAGTGGCTGCAGTCGGCACAGCTTGACATTCCCACCAATCCCATCCTTCTGGCATGTGGCGTGTCCCTCCTCTTCAATGTCTTGCTTTGATTTCTAATGAAACAGAACAACCACCCAAACATGGCACAAGCCTGTGCCAGTTCACATAAGTTACCACCAAACCAGAAGATCCTTCTCCTTCTCCTTACTCCACATTCTTCAAGACCCAGGATCTTTCTAGCTTCGTGATTATCTTGAAGATAACAAGGAATTCATGTCTTAGACTTACTGTTCCATATCCTGGGACATGGATGAGAACACAAATAAGCCCCTGGATGCAGGTCAGAAGCAGGACATCAGAGCAAGGGAGGAATGAACTGCAGTGAATGCACATTTCTGCCCACAGCAGGGACAGTCTTACTCTGTGGAGGAGGGACAAGTGGGAGTAGATTCCACAAACCCTGCCTTGCAAAGGCAGAGCACAAAGTGCTGCACAGAAGTATTTTAAAGCACTCTGTTACTTCAAATTTCACTTTGACAGCCTTTTCCCACAGCCTTTCCAGTGGCAAAACAATTGACTGGGGGGCAGTGAGGCATCCACATCTTACTGAAGATTGTGTGTTACTACCTCCCCAAAGGCCATTAAATGTTTGCTGCTGAAAAGCTAATAGCAATCAAAATTAATAGACAATGATTAGAGGCACCAGACTTTTACCTCTGGAAAAAGTAAAAAAAATACAAAGTTTAAGGGAACAGAGGCAGCTGAAACCCTTAGCATTGCCTCTCTTCCCTCTAATCTGTCTGATCTTGTGGGCTATCCCCATGACACAGCTCTTACCTCCCCCACAGGGAAGGGTACACAAAACCCTCTGGGGCATTCCACAAGATTAGACCTCAGACAGCTAGGAGAGCTTCCAAGAACCACACTGTCAAATCCAGATAACTGGATTAACTCTGGCTCCTCCATGTTACACTCCTGATACACATCCATACACTAGTCTTAGTTAATACTAATGATCTTTTTTATTTTACTTGCTGAAGAGCACCTTAGCATCAGACAATGCTCCTGTCCTCCGGCTGCCTCAACAGATACTACTTTTCTCTTGACAACCTTATTCCCAAACATGGATAGAATAAGCCTTACCTTGCTACAAGGCTACTTTTCCAAAATACTCACTTGTTTCACCCTCTCCCTGGCCTGCATGATTTTCTTTTTCAGCCACTTGCAGCGAGCGGTGACGATCGCAGTGTGCCCTCGGACTCGCTCCTCCTTCTGCCAAAGGCAAAGGTAGAAATCACATTCAACATTTATCCCCAAATCACAAGGTCATGGCAGAGGGCAGAAGTCATAGAAACCTGGGCTGAACCCCAGGTTACAATACATTTCAAGTTAAAGGCAGCCTTACATTTGCTCTGCACATACAGATGAAATTCAACACTTATTTCCCCAAAGGCTAATGGCAAACACCATTTGGGAAAAAGCCTGTGTCACATTCACTGAGTGGAAGCTGCTGTGTCACATATAGTGCTTTTTATTCTTGCATCTGATTTTCTGTTTAATTTTCACTTTTCAAAATAACAATATGATTTTTGCTATTGTTTGCCATAATTTATTTCACCTATTGTCGAGGATCCGTTCTCTGAGCTTTGCAGAGCCTTTTCTGACTTTTTCTTTTTGCAAAAGGAATGCAGGTAAGTTCAAATTTCTCATGTTTATCTTCAGACAAACTGTTCTCTGTTACATTTTTTAACTGTTTGCATTACTAGAGAACCATTCCCCTGTACCGCTTTTTCTCATTCTCTTTTATTTCAGTAATTAAAAATGGCTTTTGAAATGATAATGGGTTTGAAAAACACTGACCTCCCTTCCTAGGAGGCAACTGGGACCTGAGTGTACAGAGATCATTGGTAAATTTTCATATTGCAACTCTATATAACATGCTTTGATAAATTCAGGTTAAGTCGGTGACCCACAGATCTTCTCAGTTTAAAAGTTTCTTCTCCACTGCAGCTTTAAAAATTTATCTGCATCAGTGAAACTTACTAAACGAGGCAGACAGTTCACCAGTGATTCATTCCCAGGGTTTCTGGCACAACCACTGCACAATTTGCTTTTTCCCAGCAAACACACCACACACACAGTAACACCCCCACTGGCACCTCTCCAATAAATTCTACTCACCTCTCCCAAAACAAACTCCAAGTCACTGAACTGTCTGTTTTCCCACAGCCTTCCATAATCTTCATGGAGAGTGCATTTAGGGTAACAAGAAAACTAAAAAAATAAAACCCCACAGAAGACAGAATTCATTTCAGTAGCTATATAAACTTCAAATCTCCCATCACTCTGAAGCAGAGGAATCTGAGGTCAGATCTCCTCAAGGTCTGCAGCTTCCTCACAAGGGGTAGTGGAGGGACAGCTTCAATCTCTGCTCTCTGTGACCAGGGACAGGACCCAAGGGAATGGCTGGAGCTGTGTCAGGGGAGATTTAGGCTGGATACCAGCCAAAGGTTCTTCCCCCAGAGGGTGCTGGGCACTGCCCAGTCTCCCCAGGGAATGGGCACGGCCCTGAGGCTGCCAGAGCTCCAGGAATATTTGGACAATGTTCCCAGAGATGCACAGGGTGGGATTGTTGTGTCTGTGCAGCAGGGGTTGGACTGGATGGTCCTTGTGGGCTCCTTCCAGCTCAGGATATTCCTGATCCTATGACTCTATAACCAAAAGTGTCAAGGTTACATCTACTATCACTGGATTTTGTTATTAACTCAGCCTTCGTGTAGCACATAAAGTAGAATGTCACAAGCAAACCAAACACATGCAAGGGTTTTCCCCATGGTGAGGTTAAGGACAGATAACACAGTGTAACACAGAGGAACCTTGTTTCATCACAACTTCTAGGTACGAGGACTCGGAGGCTGGGAGTCTCACCTGCTCTCAGGCCTTGTCTGATGGTGACATGCAATAAAAATAGACTTGGCTGTACGTGGGATTTAATCTAGTGTGAGTATCCTGAATTTAAAAATTTTGATTCCCATAGCTCTGTCAGATGGGGGTGGGAGAGCTGCATGGAGATAAAACTGTAATACAAAACACTCTGCCCCAGAGCCCTGAACAGGACAGCACATGAAACAGCCAATTTTAATGAAATAATATAGCAAATCCCATCTGCTACACTTTCCAATGATTTGTCAAAGTTGTCCTGATCTCTGTAGGACTTCAGAAGGCACTAGAGAGCTTGACCTTACCAAAATGTCTGTCCAAATAACATTTCTCAAAAGATTTTTAAGACACACATTGACCTTTGAAAGCTGAATCTGAAATACAGAGGCTGCCTGTAAGAAGGCCATGGATTAAATGCTGTGCAGCTCATGGTGAGCTAACAGCTACTCCACAGACAGGACTTGTGGAATTGGTGTGGAAGTGAGTATGTTTATCAGCAAATTACCTGGAACCTGTACATCTCTCCACTTCTGATGTTATTGTCCACTGTGCCACCAAAGATGTACATAGCATCTGAGATAACTGCTGCTGCATGGAAGAGTCTCCCACTGGGTAACTGGGGAAAGAAAATAGGAAATAAACAGAGAGAAAAGGATAAAGAAGGCAAGGTAATAAATAAAAGCCTATTCGTCTGCCAAGAAAAAGGATCTGCTATTAACAGATCAACAGTAAAAAGGGAAAATCACAGAATATCTGTGGATATATATATGTGGAAGGAACACAAGGGATTGTTGAGTCCAACTGTTAAAGGAATGGGGGTCAAACCCACAACCTTGGCATTATGAGGACAGAGCTCTGACCAAACCAATGCAGCCCGAGGTCACACACTCACACACTCACACACATACACACTCACACACACACACATACACATATAGACACACACTCACTCTCACACACACACTCACAAACACTCTCACACACACACTCACAAACACTCTCACAACACAAATACACACTCACACATTCACACACACTCACACTCACTCTCACACACACATACACACTCACACATTCACATACACTCACATGCACACTTACAAACACTCACACACACATACACACTCACATTCACACACACTTGCACACTCACACCCTAACTCACACACATTCACACTGAAGCACACTCAGACAGACACACACACTCACAAACACACTCGCACACTTTACATCCTGTGACTGACATTTGCTGCTCCTCAGGATTCTCTCCTAGCGTGTCTAGAACATGTTGTCCAGTCACATTTAAGAACACCCATCCACTGCACCTTCTAATCATAGTGGTACCTACACAGGTCTACATACCAAGGCAGTTACAAAATGTATCATTTACAAAATTAAAGCCAATGTCATTTTCCACATAAACGCCACACATTCTTCTAGAAATAAGCAGATTCTGCAAAAGTGATCACTGTGCTTATTCCAAATGCTGACAGCTTATTCCATATGCTGTCAGGAACTTGAAAGGCGAATGATCATCTACCTCAGCAGGACTGAGCTCTGGGCCTGTGTGTGCCCACCTCCCCCAGAGCCTGAAGGGCTGAACCATCTGGCAAAGGCTCCAGGAACGTCCAGCGCTGAACAGGAGCCCAAGGCTGGAGCTGTCAGCAGAACTGGCACCTCAGAGCCACAGCTCTGGCCTCCATCCTGCCAGCTCCACAGAAAGAAAAGCCCCTCACACTGCAGCTATTTACAAGGCTGAGGGATCACACCATCCCTGCAACACACCCCACTCAGAGCTGCAGCATTGGGTGATTTTTGAAGAGTCACTACAAGCCAAAGCCACCATGACCCTCCTGCAGAGGACAGACTACAGCATTTTCACTCATTTCTTCTGAGGTTACACAAAGGTGTGTGAACACATCAGCATATCTCACTGAGAGCTCACAGAAAGCCTTCAAGTGGTGAGAGAAACTTCTTTTTTTTTTCCTCTAGCTTGATCAGGCTTTTCATCTTCCAGGCAGTAAATCTCATTAAATCTTTGCCTACAAAATAAAAAGCCCTCTGGTACAAGAAATCTTGGCTTCTTGTACATATTTATAGACACCACTCAAGTAAAGTCAAACATGAAACAAGATTATGTTTATCTGGAGAGGCAGATTTTCCAGGAAAGCATGCTGACTGGCAGTTCCCATTCCCACCAACTCACCCCTCTCACCACAGTATCACACAACAGCCTCATTTAGCCTGTTACTCACCGCACTTTCCATGCCTTGTTCTTCTCCTCAGACTACAGCTTTTAAGGAGACAATCTCCCAGTCAGTAACTAGGACATGGGTATTTTTCTCAGATGTACAAACCACAGACTTGCTCACCTGAAAAGGCACATTTGCCTGTGCCAGTTTAACAAACCCTATGGATTCCTCTGGATAAACAAGACGCCTTCTGTATCCAGCATATTTCATGGATACTTTATCAAGGAAACTTCATCAAGGAAACTTCAGAGTTAGCTCTAATAAATACTGTGATGGGTTATGGAATAACACTGATCTGTTAGTACATTCCTGCTTGGACCCAGTTCCATACCTCTCTGAAAGCGGATGAGATTACTGTCAAATATAATCTATTTTCTGTCCTCTGCTTGTTTTTAGCAGTAATCTCATTAACGAAATAAGATGTACTGATTGAAATAATCAACCATATTATAATGGGTTAAAAATACATCTGTCACCTTCATCAACTGGAGCTCCAACCTCATCCCAAAGTAAGAAGTTTGCTTGCCAAGACCCATTCCCACACAGCTAGGCAGGCTGGTGTTAGCTGTACTGTAACATCTTTCTCACAACTAACTGCAACCAAAACCAAACAAAAAGAACTGTTCTAGCAGAGCTCAAATGCAGCCCACCTGCTTTAGACTTATTCAGGTAATTTTCCACTTTTTAAAAATAAATAATATTTTAGTTTTGCTTTTAATTAAAATAATTCTCAAAATTCTCTAGTATTTAGTTTTTAAAAGCTGCCATTGAATTTAGCAACCAATTTTTTTTCAATCAAAAAGCCTTACAGCTTTGAAACAACTGGTGCCAGAAAGCAAACATGAACCACCTGAATATTTAGCCAAGTAAAATGTACTTGCCAGTCACATCATATTCAACTCCAACAATCTCTATGGAATGCTATAATGGTAATTTTTCTTTTGTAGTGGTTGGTACTAGCCAAGAAACCAGAGCTCTGCAGTTACTAATAACTTAAGTAATCAAACAATTTTACTTTCTAAATACACAGACCACATTTTTAAAGAGAGAAATGTAAAACATGGAGTGACAGCCTGGAACAGAAAAGGCCATGTCCAGTTCTCAAAACATTGTGCAGCTGAGAGTTTCAGGGTGTTTGTTTTACTGAAGCAGAACAGCAGAATTCAGGGCAGCTAAAACCCACATGGAGATGACAACGCTGCAAGTGGTGACATTTTGGTGCCACCTGCTTGGGGAACAATGCTCAGCCCTCCCAGGACTAAGGATTTGGCCACAGGAGCTTTGTTCCGTGCAAGGAAGGAAAGCTGGGTCCTCAAGACAATATTCAGCAGGAAAGAAAGGTTACTAGATCTCAGGAGCATGGACAGCTGTTGAGACATTCTGGCCCCCACATTCCTCATCCACCAATACCAGATACCCAGAACCTGCCCTAGCTTGAATTTTTCACTGGGAGATCTCCCAGGCTGCCAAATCCAGCGCTGAATGCACTCACCCCAGGTAGAGTCTATAAGAAACAGCTACAAAATACCATCTACTTTGTTAGCCAGGATGGTCAGAAAGGATGAGAGGAAATGGCTTAAACTGCAGCAGAAAAGGTTTAGATTGGATATTAGGAAACATTTTCTCCTTAAAGGGGTTGTAAGCACTGGCACAGGCTGCTCAGGGCAATGACAGATGTTCAAAAGGTGCATGGCACTTGGGGATATGGATTAGAGGTGAATGTGGCAGTGCTGGATGGATGGCTGGACTTGATGATCTTGAAGGTCTTTTCCAACCCTAATGGTTCTGTAATTCCATGATTTTAATTTCATCTGCTGGCACAGCTCCAGATGGCCCTGTGTGAATCCAAAGGGATTTGTCTTTCTTGTTCCCTTTACATACAGGAATGCTAAAAATCACAGACAAAGAGGCACTGCCAATCTGAATGTATTTGTCAGCTCTAGATCCTGTACTTACCTCTCCATCAATGTGATCTTCTTAATTAACAGTGCCTGACAGAAGAAATTCTGGATTCAATCCTGACACCTCCAATGATGGGGGCTGGCACCCCTCTCTGAGCTACATCACCCTGTTTCATTTGTTTGAGTGGTTTCTCTATTTAAAGTTAATGAGATTTGCATCTGAGGATCTTTACAAGATTCCCCCTGGAATCTTTGCTTTCAAAAGCAGAGCTCATCAGTCACCTTTGCTTCCCTTTCAGTACACCCTTCCACACTTCTGGCATGACTCAAGCCATCATTTTCAAAATAAAAGTATTTCAGAAGTCTTTTTTTCCTCTCATTTCTTGTGCTCAGATTCACACTGTAGCCTGTCCAGACAGCACAAATGGGGTTTGTTCTATGCTGCTATCAGGCTTCTAATTTGACTCCCAAAGCTGTGCATTAAAGTTGCCTCTCCCTGTGCCAGAGTACCCAGCAATCATTCAAATAGGTGAGATTACAGCCCTGAGCATCACCTCTGGGCCTGAGCACATACACTTTAAAATAAACTCAGTAATACCTGTGCAAACCCCTTCATAAACTCATTGATTTAAATTTTGATCTCACCAGGAATATATTCAGCTTAGCTAGAAGTCCTTAATAAATTAAGTTGAAGCAATGTAAAGTAAAATTAAATAGGGAAAGAAGTAAAATGAATAATTTCCACTCAGGGGTCAATAGTAGCCTGCTCTGTGCAATTTAGAACTTGCACATGCAGAGCCAATGCTTAAATGGTTCTTGGATTACAGCTTAAGTTAAATAGCTCATGATAAATTGCAAGGGGGAATAAAAAGGAGCAGAGAAGAAAAGGCATATATGAAAGTGGAATTTCTCTCTCTCTCTCCTATAATAAGTTTAATTTCTTTTTTTAAAGTCTTTTTCACTTTCAAATGTTTATTTATTTACCTCTGAGTCTGCTGTAGGTCCTTGTTTAACTGTTGCTATGCTGAAATCTAAACCAAATACATCCCAAGATTTTTTTAAACCCCAATCTCTCGAAGATACAGTGTGAGCTTCCTCTGGGGCAGATAACCTCTCAAGCCAGTGCTGGGTAGGACACCTGGTTACAAGGTTTAAAAAAAATGTGTGTAAAGGTATAGACGGGAAGCATGAGAGACTGGACACTGAGCAGCAGTCCCCTGCAGCTGAAGCTTCAGGTGTCAACGTCCCTGTGTATCCAAAACATTCAGGGTCAGTCCACAGAAAGGTCTGTGGTCTTGTATGGAGCCCACCACTGTGACTGAACCATTAGCATGTGGTGGTTTTCTCAAGGTTTGTGCAATGACAGAGACAGCAATGAAATCTTTTGCACTAGCTGCTTTTTGACTGCCCTCTTCCTCCCAATGGCTCTTCACAAATCACAGAATCTGAGACTGGTTCAGGTT